TTTTTAGAGAGAGTAAAAGAGAGGGAGGGAGGTGGAGGAGAGAGACACATCCATTGGTTACCTCCCACATGCCCAACTGGGGCTGGAACTCAAACCCAACACCCAAGTAAGTGCCCTTGACTGGGAATCAAACCCATGACTCTAACCACTTAGCTACACTGGCCAAGGCTGATGACCAAATTTGCAGCCCATGACTATTTTACTCCTCCTCTGAGAACTCTTCTCTCAACCACGGGGAAGGTCCTAGCAGCCATGTCCACCTGGCTATATAGAAAATCAGCACATGCCCTGACCAATTGTTCAGTGGTTAGAGCATCAGCCCAAGGACTGAAGGGTCTCAGGTTTGATTCCTGGACAAGGGCACGTACCTTGGTTGTGGGTTCCCTGGGCATAAGTGGGAGGCAACCTATCGATATATCTATCTCAAGTCAATGTTTCTTTCTGTCCCCCTTTTCCTTCCCTTTCACATTCTTTCTAGAAATCAATGGAGAATGTAATCTCAGGTGAGAATTAAAAAGTAATTAATTAATTAACTAATTAATTAATAACCAACACTCATTATTAGCCAATATTTATTTTGAGAAGTTGGCTGAGGAAATTGCTCAGAATCGAACTGTATAGTTCTATAATCAAGTTTCTAGAACACATCTAGTGTTTGATCTTTTGGAAGCCTGTTTAACTTTTCTCAGAAGTACCCCAATCTCCTAAGAAGTTCTCTCCATCTGCCACCACTTTTGCATTAGCTAATTTAAATGGATTTTCTTTATTTTGTTACCAGAAATTTAAGTAAGCCAATTTTCAGATAAGAGTATTTCCAGTCAAGACAAACAGCTCTGGTTTAGTTAGAAATCTTTCCAGATCATTCCTCAGGCTTACTGAAATTTCTTGGGTATAGCTGGCTGCCTGGCTATATAACTGTATTTTGATCTTCTCAATGGACTTACCCATTAAATGTATTTCTATGTATAGATTAATAAACTGGCCTTCTGGTTCATTTTGGTATCATTTAAAAAAATGGTTTAATTGAAAGTGTACAGATTCTATTAAAACCCAAGTCTGGCCCAGCCAGTGTGGTTCAATTGGTTGGGCTAGCACCATTCACCAAGAGTCACCAGTTCAATTCCCAGGCAGGTTGTGGGCTGGATCCCCAGGAAGGGGAGTACAGGAAGCAGCCAATCAATGGTGCTTCTCTCATTGATTTTCTCTCTATCCCACCCTTTCTCTCTCTCAAAATAAAAAAACATATTAAAAATAAAATTAAGAAGAAAAAAAAAAGTCTGACACATAACCCTACCCTCTTTCCCATGGGCATCTTAGTTGCACATGGTAGGTGTTCAGTTTCTCAGATGAGTAACTTTGTGGCTCAAATCCTGCTGCACTTTCTAACCACAAGTTTCCTCCCACTTGACCAAGGTTAATCAGGGAGGTTTCTTACAGAATCCCCTACCTTTTTGAACCACTCCCAAGCTCACCTGCTGTTCTGTGGTTTTGTTTCCACTGTGGACAGCTCACTTTAGGAGCCCTAAATAGGTCCTATGCTGTAATCCTCTTCACTAAGGTGCATCTACATACCCACCAGTTTGTCTTTCTCAGTTCTCCCCAGCACTGCCTCTCCTTTGCTAATTCACCAAAGTAGAACTAATCTGACTTCTTCCACGATAGTTTCAGCACCCCTTACACTGTGCGTCAGGTATCACCTGGGTAGCACTCTGAGAAGTGGGGGGCAGGGGTAGGGATTGTGGGAAGCCCTCCAGACCTATGGAATCCTATTGAAGGCATTTGTTCCAGAAAGTTATTCTAAAGCTCCCGAGGTGGTTCTGATGCACTATTATTGGCCTACTTGCAGCAGGTTCAAACCTGGGTCCTTGAGATGACTTTCAGTGTTGTTTTTTGTTTTTGTTTCCTACTTACTGTCAATTTACAATCTTTCAGGAACTTAAAAGCAGACCTTTTTCCTTCACCATTTTTTCCCTTCATAATTATAATCAAATCAATATGGACCTATATGCAAGGTGTTGTCCTTACAAAATACATCAGACACTGCTGATCCCATTAACCCAAAGAAAACACTGCTACTCAGGATTAAGCATGTATTTATTTTAGTTCAGTTAAAACATACATTGTTTCATTGAAACGGTGTAGCACTCTTTGCCAACAAGTCATACTGGAATTGTTGGCCTCTAACAGTACAAGGGGGTTTTTACACTATATACATAAGATTAACACATGTAGGTTCTCAAAGGTCTTTCCTTATACTAGATCACATTTGATTTCATTACACTAGATCACATTTTGATAACTACTGCATTTTGAAAATTTAGATCTTTTTAAAATTTAAATAAGAGATCTAAACTTGCACCAAGTTTTCATGAAAAAAAAAAAAAAGTTAACCAGTCTGTTTATTGCAAATACAATTTAAATGATATTTAAAATTTTTAGTGTTTACACAATTTATCAATTTGTTTATATTGACATCTCTGTACAGGTAATTTGGGACAATTCTTAGATATACATAATGTGAATTCATCAAAATGCAGTTAAGAAAGTTACAGGAATATATACATTTGAACCCAAGACCCAAACCTGACCCATGGAATTATATACAACCTATTTACAAATACATATGGACAGACAATGTATGTACATAGATTATCATAAATATTGAAAAATAGGTTAGCTTTAATGGATTACTGCTGTTCTATAAATAACATTACAGTTATAACTGAAACATCCACGGAAGACAGTAATGCAAAATGAGGTGACAAGACAGTGGTTTTAATACTGAAGACTGCTTATTAATGGGAATTCACTGTTCAGGAACCTCACGACAGACAAGAGAGCTCCAAGATCATGCAATGGAATTAATCCTCAGCAACTGATTTTGAACCTCCAACAGCCAAAGAAGAGTGGATGAGTCTCCCCACATTGATTAGCTGTGAGGACTTTTTTCCCATTCTTTCCTGGTTGATGGATTATATTTCCTCCCCAGGAAAGGAGATGAACCTTTACTTGGTATTCTCTGATGGGCCTTTGATCCAAAATCAGCAATTCTCTCAGGAACTCCAATTCTTGGTCTTGAACTAAAGGCGAGGTTCTGGATTTGAAGGGAGTACCAAAGCCCAATTAAATGAAAGCAGTGCTGTAGAATCTGCCTTCTCACTGCCTTTCTAGGTGGTCCCCAGTTGCTTATTTTTGTAGAAACAAACACAAATGGACCATTGGTTTCACCAAAGTAGCACTACAAGACGTCTTCCAGTTCCACAAGGGTCTTTTTAAGTACAGACATATCTGATCTATAAGCTAGTCACATATAATACAAGAATGTGTAACAAAAACCATGTCTGCCCCATTTCTGGCCCTTGCCTAGAACTAAAACAATGTTTAGTTCAAGAGAAAACTTTAACAGCCAGATGACCAATTGATGATTCCATTATTTGCTTCCCTCAACCACTAATGGAATTATGTATAACAGATTTTAGACATTATGCCTGATGAGCAAAGTACCACATTATTTAATAATATATTCACCATACACCGTAACATACAATAAATGTGCTCTTAAAAGCCAACTAGTTTTTTTTTTTTTCAGTTCTAACTGGAATTTATGTGGAAGGGTGAACATGCAGTTGTACCAACTAACTTACAACCAGGTTGCACTGTTTCCCCTAGCTAACCATTTGTTGGATGTAAACAAATAATTCTGTGTTGTACAAGAATGAGATGACAGTCCAGTGCAAGTAAGTTTTTTAGAAAGCTTACTGCATGAAACCCAGTGGCCTATTTAAAGAGAACTTACATTATTCCAAATATCGGTGTAAACTGTAGATTAGACCTCAACTGTAGACGAAACATGAACATGACTAAGCCATACAGTATCAAGTAATTCACACTTCCAGTAGTAGATGAGCATTTTTGAAAAGTTGTACTCTGGTTAGAATAGTTTTGGCCTTATTGCCATCAAATGCCCATTTTTCCACTGCTGGAAGCAGTTAAAAAAGGGCTGGCCCAAAAAATCCAGAGCTGTCAATCCAACTCTGGAAACAGATGCAACTGAATAAACCCTGTTTTACCCAATTGCACTATTTGGTACCACAAAATTCGTTATTTTACTACCCACAGAAATATCTGCATTATCTTCCATTCTAATAGACTGAAGCAATAAATATTTGTCTGAATGAACTAAATTATTTGGGAACAGAGAAGAAAAATGATGAACAGGGTTCATCTGATTTGGTATAACAATAGGCAATCAATTATCCTTAAATGGTGAAGTCTGAATGGAAAAAAACTATGCTCCTACTCATAGTACAATTTTTCATTACATCATTTTTTTCTAAAAATCATTTTGGATAAAAAACATATTTGGCTTATTATGCCTACAAAAAGGCAATTCATTTCATAATACTTACATTTGTTTTTAAACAATTAAAATTTTTTTTTTACGGAATTTACTGACAACTGTTTTTGGACAATGTTCAAAAAAAGCATTTTTTTTTTTAAAGTAAAATAGTGCTTCTGAGGTCTTTAAATATTTTTGGTACAAAAAATAATAGTGTTTTTCTCAATGGTTATTTCAATACTTTGCTGTAAATTAAGAATTGTTTCTCACATCAAATGGTTCCATTAGGCACATTCAAGTAAAACCATAAAATATCCAAGTTTAAACAATGACACAGCCAAACATGTGGCTTGATAAAAGTTAAGAGTTTGTCCATTCTCTGGAATGGAATAAAATTGTCACTTCCATTAACCCGAGACTCGTGGTTTTGTTGTTAATGTCCATTTCTATCATACAGAATAGTTCCTTTAAAAAAATAAAAAAATAAAAAATAAAAAAACAAACAAAAAAAGAGTTCACTTATTCTGCACTCAGAAGAACCAGCGAGGAATCTGCACTTCAAAAGGAAGTGAAAATGAAAACATCAGGTGAAATTTCATAGCAGTTGAGAGTTGACTCAACACTGGCATCAAATGGACAATTGAAGTTTTGGTAGTGCCAGTTAATGGGCATTGTGTACCCAATCCAGGATAATCAACACCATGCTTCCGATCATCACCACGAAGCCACTCATCAGGAAGAACAAAGCCTGCAATGAGCAGAGAGAACACTGGTCAGCAAGCATCAAAACATGTTCCGTTCAACATTCCCCTTTCTACTTTGAAAAACGGGCTTTTCGTTACTAAAATTATGGCAATATTTTACACAATAACAGTTCCCCCTCGCTGAAAATATTTAAATGGTCTGAAGTAATCCAAGAGTCTTTTAAAATAACTCTCTGAAACCTTCCAAAATTTCACCATTAAGTTTCTTTCTCTCAAATGAAAAGGCAAATCATTTTCTTTGCTGAGTAAACTACTTCATAAAGCAGCACTGGGCTGGATCTTTTCAAAGCAAAAATTGAGGTCACGAAAACAAACCCAAGTCATCCTAAAATGCAGCCTGAGTCAAGGCCAAGTCTTTCTGATGGACAGAAGTTGACTTCTAATCCTACCCTTCAATCACTGCCACTATATACTTGGGGTAAACAAGATGACAGTTGTTGGCTCATAAGCAATTCCAGTCCTTTAATCAGATTAGAATGGTAGTAGAATAAAAATTGAAAAGCAGTCTTTTTTCCTAAACAGACCCACCAGAATCATTTACCGTATTTTCCGGCCTATAAGACGACACCCTAATTTACAGTTAAAACATAGGTTTAGGCCTATATTCGCTGTATAAGACTACCCCCCACTTCCGAGGCAACACCAGTTCTTTTTTTAATAGACCGCCTCTCTGACTCTGGCCAATCTGAGCAGGCTTTTTTTTCGTTTCAAAAGTTGTCTTCTACGCCGGAAAATACAGTACTTAATATATCATACCCTTTGAAAAATTAGTTATTACAAACAGTCCCACCCCAAACTTTGCTTTGAAGATGGTTTTTCTTGCTTGACTAAACAACCCACCTTTTTCCCTTTCATATACTCAAGGCCCATTTAAGTGCCTGTCACACAACAGGCAGCCCCCCACATACTGGTTCAACAAGTGCTGAACGCTCTTTACACTTCATACTCCATCTCTCTAATATCTAATAACTTTCTTGCAATTAAATTAGAAGGCAAACTGTCTTTCACCTCCTTGCCCCGAATCTTTCAACTGTGAAGCACACTATTATAGGAACATTTACTAGAAACATAAAAGTGAAACTGTAATGAATGATAGCTAAGAGACTAAAATTAAAATCAGCTGAGGAATTTGTTATTGGAAGATTATTAGTTTCTAGAGCCATAATCTCTTACTCACCCCAATCTTTTGCACAGACTTCATGGACTCTTTCTTAACTAATTTGATATAGAAGGCAGACGGAAGAATAAAAATCAACATAGCAGCTGCAGATGCACCTGCAAAAGAACATTGACAATTTCTTGAGAGATCAATAAGCCACTTATCACCCATTGTTTAAACCTTAAATTCCTGATACTTAAATCAAGCTTGATATTTTCTAAAACTTACCAATGAAACCAAAGATATCTCTAATAGTTGGGACAAAGATGACAAGCAGATTGGTAAATGCCAAGATCGATACTGTAATGAGACCATGACGCCACCAAGTGAAATCTTTTTTTGGACAAAACAACTGAGTTATGGAACTCCGGATCTGCAAAAATAAACAAACAGATAAACAAATGAAAGTTTCAGCTTTAGTTAATAAAAAAACAAAATAGAAAACCTATTTAAAACAAGCAACTATTAAAATAAAATTGTGCTCCTTCCTCTACTGCTGTTTTATGAACATTGGAAGATCATTTAACACCTTCAATTATGAAAAACATGCCCTGGGATGTTTGAAAAATGTACTAAGTATTTTAAAAAGACCCCTCAAAACAACCATCAATTCAACTTTGCTCTAGCAGAGTTTCCCTTCTCCCAGAAGATAAAAATCTCACAAATCTTCACATTTAAAATTCCTAGTGAAAAAAGAGCAAGGGATTTACTTACTGGGAAAATAACCACTGGAACTGTCAGGGTGACAGCCATTAACACAGCCAGACGGACAATGAGAAGAAGAATATCAGCTCCCAAGACTTTAGAGTATGTATGAAGCAGTTCGGATTCAACTTTATCTGTGGAGAAAGACAAAAAGACAAAAGCAAGACTTTAAGTGTGCTGTTTTCTCTGGAGATTAGGTAGAAAAATCTAACTTGTGGCAAAATTTACGAAGTTATTATTAGTCACTCACAAAATAACTACCAACTAAGAGGCTAATAAGATTAATTTAGAATTAGGGTTAATGCAATTAAAATAACATTGAAGGAAAATTTTTCTAAATACCAAGTAGAGATTTAGCCACATGACCCCCATTAAAAACAACAGGAGCTAAATAGCTAAATCCCATGATCTGGCTTACAGTGTGCATGTGTTGTATTAATTTGAAAGTGATGGGAGGAAAAAGGTAGGATGAATGCTGATAGAAATATATCATATAAAAAATGGCATCAAATGACTAATGGTATACTTTTGAACCTGGATTCTAAAAATTACTGATTAAATATACCATAGGAAATTCTAAGCTCTAAATTTAATTTCTTATCACAAAGGAAATATACTAAAACAGGTTGAACTTTAAATAGAATTATAGGTATTAAAATATCAATTTCATCTCACAATGTGATTTAAAAACAAACAAACAAAAAAAACACAGACATTATTTACCATAAAATGTCAAGTATCCAAAAAGGGCAGCAAACAGGTACATGAGAAACATAGCAAAAAATGAAATCTTGGATACATTCATCATCCTTCTACGGCTGCGGCTATGTAAATTCAAAGAAAACACAAAAATATTTATTAGCAGTAGTTATAGCAGTAATCACATAATTTTTTCCCAATAAACCTACAATAAAATAGGTCTAGCACTCACTCTTTCAGCTCTTCATAAATGGGAAGAATAGCAGGATGACAAACAAATGAAAAAGTCAGAATTGGGACAGCATACACAGTCTGTAAAAAGATATAAAAATGCATTCAATATCCCAATGTAACAAACCCATGTCTTATCAGTTGTGCAACTTATATTTTATATCAACTAATATTTAATCAAAACCTACAATAGTTTTCCTTACATAATTAAATTCCAATCTTCTAATTTGTTCACGATGTGTAATCAGCGTCCTAATTTCTGAATGTGTCAATTATTTTTTTTAAAATATATTTTTTATTGATTTTATACAGAGTGGAAGGGAGAGAGATAAGAGTTAGAAACATCGATGAGAGAGAGTCATCGATCAGCTGCCTCTTGCACACCCCCTACTGGGGATATGTCCGCAACCAAGATACATGCCCTTGACCGGAATCGAACCTAGGACCCTTCAGTCCCCAAGCCGACGCTCTATCCATTGAGCCAAACCGGTCCCGGCGAATGTGTCAATTATTAACGTAATATATTTCATTTCTTATTCCATTAAAAAAATTTTTTTTAAATTGATTTCAGAGAGAAAGATAGAAACATTGATGATGAGAATCAATGATTGGCTGCTTCCTGCATGCCCACTATTGGGGATTGAGCCTGCACTCCGACCTGTGCCCTTGGTTGGAATCAAACCCGGACCCTTTACTCCGCAGGCTGACACTCTGTCCACTGAGCCAAACCAGCTAGGGCTCATTTCTTAATCTACTTTAAGACACAAAACCAATGCTTTCTTCTCAGTCCTCAGTAATAAACTAATCATTTTTTTTCTAAAGAGCAGCTCTTACCCCTCTTCCTTTCCCCTGGGAGTTAAAGTTTTCCCCTTTTCTTCCCTAAAATTTTCCTTTCAGAAAATGAAGATTATATTTAAAAAGGCGAAAGATTTATATTTAGTTACCTGTGAGTTGAAGAAAAAATAATGCGGTCTGCAAGAACCATCATCAGTCGTGTTAACTGCCATATGAGGTACTAAAGCTGTTGGATCTATGAAGGTGCTATTTATGCTTATTGTATCTTCAAAAGGACAAGCAATCTCAAATTTCTTGCAAATCACCTGAAAATATATTATTTTTCATTTGTTAAACTGAATGATGTGACAGGGCATATAAAATTTTTTTTCTAGCTTTAAAGAAGTTATACCTACCACAATCAGAAAGAACAGCATACACAACAAGGAAAGGCCACTGGTATATCCCAAATATCCTGGCAAGGGAAGATAAATGTTAATTTAATGAAATAGGTTTAGGGCAAATATATTTCTTCTACTAAATAAAATAACTCAATTCTGCTTGGAAGACACTTCAAGATGGCCACAATATTAAGTTTCTAATTCTTACATACTAAGCCATAGAATTAGTTAAAAATAGTTACTAATAACTAAAACAAAAACTTTCATTTGTTTCCTATAATTATTACTTATGAAGTACAAGATATTATAAAATGTCAATACCATATTTTAGTGCCCTGGTGGTGATCGTGTTGGGATTTTGAAAGACCTAAAGAGGTTTGCATGCACAACTCCTAAAGATATGTTTTTAGAGCTTTTTAGCTCTCAACGTCTATTAGGAGAAAGCCAATTAGCTAGTGAGAGGGTCATTTCTAGCCTCTTTGGCTTGTAGAGATGGGTTTGCTCACCTAAATTTTTCAGCAGTGATAAAGGAAGAATGAGCAGCAACGACACCAGTAGAACCAAATAGTCACCGTTCAGATACCACTGTCTGAATTGAAAAGAAAAACAAGGTCAAAACCAGCCACAAATATTCTCAGAATAATATACACATCATCTCACAGGACTCATTTTATATAATTACTATAAAAACATACACAAAAAAAGATAGGTTTGGAAGTATCACTTATTCAAAAAGCCCATGAACAGGAGTAAATATCTCCAACTTTGGTGCTAGATGAATGTTCACTCAGGTTTGGGATGGGGTATGAAACAGTATAACTTTTGTCCCACTGTTTGCTCTGGGAAGGCTGCCAGTTGATTCATAACATAAAACACTTCTTAAATGCTTGCTACTAATATAGAGAACACAAAGAGGCACTGTTAAGCCAGTAATCTTATCTTGGAGCATTTTTAGAAAAACTGTACACCAAACTTTGTCATGGCTTTGGCTTGTAATTTGTAATGCTAGAAACAAGGAATTTTAAAATAAGCTATTTTCAGAAATTTGTTAGCAAATGTACATATGAAATACTTCAACAAAGAAATTTTTTCATACATAGACAAAATACATAGGCAAAAACAAAACAGACAAAAACCATCCCCAAACCAGGACTTATATTCCAGGATGTTAAGAGTATATTTTAATAACTTGATCCAACTTAAATCTAAAAATAATCAAAAGATTCCTTCTGAAGTTAAGAGAAAATACTACCCAGGAGTCCTAAGAGTTCTAGCAATATTTTCTCCTTTATCAACTATACCCTCTCTTTTAAATCACTATTTCAAATTCTAATTACCCTGTGAATTCTGCTCCACTCGCTTCAGCAACAAAGATCCAACAGAAAACTAGTATCTATAGATCAGGTTACTAAGATAAACTTCTAAAGCATGGAGATTACCACAACACATCTGGATTTTGAGCTAAATTCCCCATAAGTGGGGAAATAAATTATCTCCCCCATGTTTAGTTTAGATAAAAACATGTTAGTAGTTTGGGATGAGTAACTTTGCTAGAAGGATAAAATGTCTACATCATGGTCATACATTTCTGGTATTACAAAGTTAAAAAAGATTTAAGTTTTAAGAATTTCTAATTTACAAAAAGCAGATAGGAGTTGGTTTTTAAACACAATTCAAAGTTGTAGCCCTGACATAGGTTGGGGTGTTAGCAATAATTTCTAAAGAGTAACTATAAAGAGGAAAGTTTAGAAAACCTGTTTCTACATGTAGGTTAGATCTTACGTTATTCAGAGTTACAGGACTAGCCACCGTCTTTGGCTTTTCATTCTCAAAAGTTCTCCGTTCCAACAATAACATTTACAATAATTTACTGATAATAATTTTGTACCCAACTCTGATAAAATGTATCTAACTATTTTAGACTACAATTGTTTCTTATGAGTAACCTTACTTAGCACCTACCCAGTTGTATCTTCAATGTTCATTAATGCCTTGATCACCAAAGGTAACTCATATTTCACTATGAAGAGGTAGCTTGACATAGCTGGAGGGAAAGAAATTATACCATTACAAGTGCAAAATGTGGCACGTGACACCAAAAATAGCGTGTCACCACTCTGCTACACAAAGCAAAGTCTACCCAAAATCTCATCTTTTAAAAAATTCTTACCTCCAATATTTTGCATTGTAATCGATCCAGAAGCTGCAAGCTTTCCAGCCATTCCAAATGCTTTGTGTCCCAACTGTTCATATGATAAAGACCCTGTAATTTGAAGAATGCGATAGCATGAGGCAAGTATTTTATATGGGAGAGCAAAAATCACACAGGCATAATTGTTTCAGAAATACCAAGAATGCTACCATACCTCCTTCATTGGCAGTCTTCAAAAGGAGATGAACAGAATACAGGGAAAATATTGACACAAATGTCAAGAGAATTCTGATGAGAGAGAAAGAAAAGGTACAAGGTTACAAACAAGCATAGCTCTATTTAAAGACAATTCTTCAGTGTTGCTATGTGAACACTAAATATGGAACTTGTCCTAATAGCATGTCCTCAAGAATGACACTCTACTGGCTAGAGTGTCAACATATTCTCTTACCTAGCCCTAAAGAAACTTACATCATGTCTCAGGTAATAGAATAGGCTCTACAGCATTAGCAAGGGCAGGAGTTTACCCACTGAATCAAGCATGCAGGGAGTTATGGAAAGCCAAGCTTTAAAGAGGTGGAGTTATGAGACTTAAAACTTGATTCTGACACCATTCAAAGCTGCATACTTGCCACCTGTCTGCACTTTAGTAGTTCATTTCACCTGTAAAATGGTGATCATACCTGCCAGGAAACCCAGCCTACAAGGTACTTTTGAGATCCAACTGAGATAGCATATATCAGAGAAGCAACGAATGTGACACCATATGGTATGGGATATAGGCCCAGCACTGTCACTAACTTAAACAATGCCTGTGCTATTTAGAACATGTAGACTTATTAGTCCAACTGTCTAGGCTATAGCCTCCCTGGAATAGAACTGGGACTAAGGTTTCATCATGTTTCCCTTTAGGGCACAGGTTCTCTCTCATTCCAGCTTTATTTTCCTCCCCGGGGCAAGCTAAGGAAAATATAGATTTCTTTTTAGCAGAAGGAACAACAAATCAAAATCAGGGAAACTCTTATAGAAAACTCTAAACTCTACAAACAAGAAGACAGTCAAATTCTTTTTGATTCTGTAAGAGCAAACTGACTACAGTACCATATAAGGTCTGGCAAAGACCTTATATGTCTGTTAGTTAAACATAGGTGGTGACATCAAACTGCTCCTCTAATGCCAAATGTTTTATGGGGTCTAATCTGAGGTGGGCAAGGACAGCATCAGCCTAACCTCTAAGTAGTCAAAGTTGCTGGTTTAATAAAAAATGGTTTTCAAAGCATGCTGACAAATCCAGTCCTCCTTTCTTTACACTGAAATGACAATGAGGCATGCATGGACTTCAGAACCTCTGAGGTTCTCTTTCAACCTCAAGATTGACTCTACTTGATAAGGTGAGCTACAGAGTAAAATACGGATGGATTAAAAACCACGTTAGCACTCCTGATACTATTTAACCATAATCACCAAACACAGAGACCCTATTAAAATATATATAATTTCCCAAGCGCAAGGCTAACATATCAGAACTGTGGTTTTACTTATGAAACTGTGATGCCATGTAAAATACTGCACTAGAACCCCACTTAAAAATGGCTTCCAGTTTTTATAGTAAGAGTTAGAAAGGCTTTCAAATATTTAATAATGATGCCATTGAATTCTCTCACTAAAAAACTTTGAAACTCCAGGGGCCTTTCTATGTAAATGTCTGGTCCTTCACTTTAGTAAGGTCTCAAAAGCCTCCTGTTGATGAAGATTAATTCTGGCTTCCAAAACTCAAAACTGTGCTTAATGCTTAACTTCAGCTTGGGATTTCACCAACAAGCAGAGCTTTGTAAAGGTCTGCTTTTCTTTTTACTCTGCTGGGAAAATAACTTGAAGTAAAAATGAACTTTTTACTCTGCTGGGAAAATAACTTGAAGAGAAGACTCCTGTCAGCTAACAAAATGTCTATCTGTTACAACGGGACAAAATTCCATGTTTCTTCATCTGTACAACAAAATCAGTCATACATCTTCCACAGAAATTGACTTAGCCAGAAGCCCAAAGGTACTTAGGCTTAGTACCTATGACATAAACATCATTGAAAATGCATGCTAAACTTTACTGTATTTTTTTGTTGTGTGCTTTTTCCCCTAGAACTATAAGGTCCATACTTTCTACACAACATTCTCCAAGGGCCAATGACCCCCACTATGGTAAAGAACCACTGCTCTAAAATCTTCTATAGCTCCAAAATTCTATTCTAGGTATACACGCTGGAAAGCACACGAGTAATTAATTCTAACTTGACAACTAAGAAAAAAAAAATACCATTTAGAAGCAGGTACTTATTAAAACAATTTTTTTGCTATGGCATATGGCAATCAGATCTAGAATAAATATTTAAAAACCACTTTATGATTCACTTTTCTTAAAACAAACCTATTTCAAGTTAGCAAATTCCATTGCCCACAAATATATATATATATATATATATATATATATATATATATATGATTATAAATATATTTTTTGTTTTTCCTTAAACATGCAGGGGCCACAGGTCCTTGGGGAGTCTATGCCAATTTACCAAACTGATTTTGAAGTACTATGCTTATTAATATTTTTTTGCTTCAGATTTTTGCCAAGTAAAATTTCTAACCACCCTGGATTTATTAATACTTCCTTTAAAATACCCACCTGTTAATACTTTGTCTTAACTATTCCGATTGACTTAAAGACTTTAGACTTAATTTGTCAATTTTAATTGTTGTCCTATTTTCCCCTAATTGGCTTTCTTGATATCATGCAATTATATACCAGAATAAAATACACATTTTTTTTATTTCTCGTATTTTAAATTTTAAGCAAATGAATTTCAAGTTAGTTTCTGGGGCCAAAACGCATTGTATCATCATATTAACTGCCCTGCATGGCAGACTCACTACTTACACATACTTACATAAACAGAGCAATTCCAGTATTAGCCATGGCATAAGAAAGCCCAAGGATTCCACTGCCCACAATCGCATTGCTCAGATTAAATACTGACATTCCAAAGGAAGTAGTACCTGGATGCTACATAGAGGGAAAACGATAACCAAACATATAACAATAATTAAATGGAGAAAACCAGCTTCGGGCAACTTAGATTTGAAATCTAAAAGCAAAAACTATTCTTTCACTCCATTAAAGCCACAGACACACACATTATTTATTACTTTTAACTTACAAAGTCTGTTTCATACTTCTTTTTCCCCAAATTCGATTCAAGTAAAAAGTTCTGGTTTTCAGGATCTACATCTACATAATGGCTGCAAAAAGAAAAAGAGAAAAAAAAAATCTTAAGTTGGATCGAAATAGACAAGAGGATGCTTTAACACAAAACAGCGCTTTCGTTGCCACACACCTTTATTTACATGCTTAAGTTTTAAGTAGGAGTCGACTTTCACGCCAGCTACTGTCACTGCAATTAAGACAGCCCGCAGCTCTTTCAGAGATCACTCTCCAAATGCTACACATCCTTCTCCAAATGCTACAGACCACTCTCCAAATGCTACAGTAATTTAAAGAATCAGAAGCAGAAGCCGCATTTTTTTTGTTTTTTTTTAAAGGACAGAACTTCTCCCACCTTTTCAGGGCAGCTTGCTTGGTGGGGTAGTAGTTGTTGAAGTCGCTGTTGGAGCTGTAGCTGCTGCTGTCCTCATCCGGGGAAATACTGAACCTGCCCACTTCGGCTTTCTTCATGCTGGGCGCCGGGAGGGATCCGATGCTTCGAGCAACACTGGACTCCTTTTGTCCTTCGCGGTGCACCGCCGGCGTCAGTCCGCCCGCCTCCCGCCTGCCTGCCTGCCTGCCTGCGGGCGAAGGTAGAGGCGGCGCGTCAGGACCCGCAGCGCCCGCCCCGCCGGGTCACGTGACGCCCCGCTCTGGCCCCCGCCCGGCGAGTGGAAAAGTACCAGCCGCGCGCGCGGGGCGGGGGCGCGCCGAGGGGCGGAAAAGTACCGACGGCGGGCGAGCCGCGGAGAACAAAGATGGTCCCACCACGGCGGCGCCGCGCCCGCCCGGGTCCCGCGCCCCCCCGGACCCCCAAACCCCGCAGCAGATCTTAGTATTTCAGCCTCTCCGTGACCCCAGGTCCGGGGAAGGGGTGCGGGGAGGAGGTCTGTGGCTTCCCTCCCCACCCTCCCCGGGTCGTGCTCAGACTCGCCGGGCGCACAGCCCACCCAGGCGCTGGCTCCGTGTGCATGCATGCCGCCCGGGCGGGCGCACCCGGAGCTCCCCGATCGCAGCATTTAGGACAGCAGAGCCGCGGAACCCGTCCTCTCATTCCCCGAGCCCCCAGAGCGGGGATGCCACTGCGGCCGCGAGCCCCCCGAGGGGGCGCAGGGGGCAGGCGGAGGCTCCGTGGAGCCGGGGAGAGGGACCGTCCCCCGGAGCGCAGCGGCTGTGTTGACACCGCGCGCCCGTGCCCTCGAGCACTGCCGTCCGCTGGCATGTGGCTGGCGAGCGGGCTCTGCTGGCGCCGCCGGCCCCTCCTATGCCCGGAAAGGCAACTGATGCAATATCGATCGCCGATTGTCAAACGTCCTCTCTGCCCGCCCGTCTTCCCCAAACCGTGGCCGCTTCGGCTACCCTGGAAACCCAAACCCACCTCCTCCGCGCCCCCGAAATGCCAAAACACCCTGGATGTGATGATTTTTATTCATGCAAACCAGTCACAAGACTTGCCGCAGCGGAGGAGACGCGGGCCCGGCTGGCTCCCCTCCCCCTAACGGGAGAATGCGGCTCCGCTCCGGGCGGGCACGAGGCCCCCGCGCCGCGCACCCTTCCCCGGCCCGAAGGTGGGCGGCCACCCTCTCCCCCCACCATCCCGCTGGTGGGCCGGGGGTAAGGCCGGGGGCAAGGCCGGCCCCGATCGCCTTATATGCGCCTCTCTCCGGGGGAGGAAACGACCCCCGCAGCTGCCTTCCCGCCGGGCCCCTCCCCCTCCCCCACCCTTGCCGGGGCCTCGCGCCCTTTGCGGAGATCCCCCGCGCCGTACCCCCGCGCTGTTACCTCGGTGGTCTCCGCTTCTGGATCCCGGATGTCACGCAAACTCCTCCAGTGGGGTTTTTTCTCAAACAAAAAATTGTAAACAAAACAAAAATCTCTCCTCCCCCCTAACAATAAGCAGGAAAAATAATTTTAATTAAAAAAAAAAGAAAGGGAAATGGCAAGTTGCCTCCCCAATCGTGCGGCGTCCGTCTGCCGTCTCGGGGGAAAGGCGCGAGGGTGTGCGGGCACGCGTGGCCGGGCAGCGGGGGCGGTGCGGGGCCAGGCGCGCCGGGACAGCGGGCATGAAGACTCCGGAGTGGCCGGGGAACGGCGGGTTATAGCGGCCACCCCGAGGACGCGTCAGTGGGCGGGGCCGCCCGGCCTCCGGGTGCTTTTCTTTGTGCATCAACACCCACCTGGGCCCGCCCCCGGCCGCAGGGCCCGCCCCCTGCCCGCCCGCGCCTCCCTCCCTCCCGCCGACGCCCCCCGCGCTCCCTGAATGCCAAACCCCCCTTTCCCCCCCGGGTCCCCCTCCAGCCTGGGGGATCCCCTCCGCCCCAGGGTTCCCTGTCCATGTCTGCCGGGATTGGTGGCCAACCTACGCGGTTGTCTCTAAGGAATCTTCTTCAATTTCCCCTCGGGCCGTGTACCCAGCAGTTTGCTTTCTAAACTCAAGGCATTTTGGGGGACCCATTCCCGGCACGCAACCCTTTCCTGCTTGTTATTGTTATGGTTTCCATGGGGTATTTTTTTTTTTTTAATCCTTCCAAATTTGGGCTAACGCCGGCAGCAAGATTGTTTCCGTGGTCAGGTTCCGTTCTCCTTTCCTCTTCATCTAGACCTGCTTTCACTCTTCAGCACTATCCCCGATTAGTTGGGGTGGCGACTCTGTTTGGGGATATCCTTTAGGTATGAACGTGGAAAACCCTACAAGGGTTGAAAAGCTACATCCCGAAAAGCAAGCCAGATCCCTAGATAGGGAGGGGGCCCCGGTTGGGGGAAAAGGGGCAGCTATTCTAAAGAGGTGACAGGAGCCCCCACAATTTGAAAGCACCTCTCGCCCTCCCCGCCTTTCTTTCCCAGAATTGACAAAGGCACTGCCTCGGTTGGGCTGCTGGCCTGAGACTTCCGAGCCTGATCCTTCCGTTCCAGTCATGGTGTGTCTTGCTGAGCCAGGCAACTCCGGGGACCCCTCGGTGCTGCCAGAAAGGCAGGATCCGTCCTTTGCTGGAAATAAAAGGCCTCTTAGGAGAGATAAATGTTTGTTGAATGAATTAATCAACAAACGAGCTTGACCTACGGCTCCTTTCCTTTTGTGGACGTGGGAGAGGATTGGGCAGGGCACAGAGGAAATGGTTGGGTGTGACAACAATTTTTGCTTTCAATGCCAAGAGTGGGAGGTGTCGAACTGTCTTTTTGTAATGGTTGTTTGATTCATGCTTTCGAAGGCCAACCTGGGGCATATCTAATTCAAGTGGCTTCCAACTGAGGCCTGATATGCTTGGGGTTTTGCTGTTATGCCTTGGGCTAGATTGCATGGGAAACAGGGCCCTTACCCGCTTTTTGTGACAGTGCACCACCAAAGGCTTGTTAGTAAGAAGTGTTACGGTTTTGTTTTATGTTCAAGCTAATGTTTTAGAAGAGCAGCGTTTTTCAAACTATCGAGTGGTAGAGGGTAGTGAATTCAATGGATTACCATGAGTTTTTATTCTTTAATGCATAGAATTGAAAATAATCAGTATACCATATATGGTGATGCTAATTACTATTCTGTAAAACTTTAATTTGATCATGCATGCATCCTATATAATAAAAGGCTAATGTGCAAATCCACCGGGCTGTACGACCAGTTGCTATGACACACACTGATAACCAGGGGGCAGACGCTCAATGCAGTGGCTGTCCCCTGGTGGTCAGTGCGCTCCCACAGTGGGTGTCACTGCTCATGGTTAGTGAGCCCAGTGGCTGCAGTACTATGGACCCATTGGGGGAATGTCTGACTGCCAGCTTAGGCTCACTACTCCTCAGGGGCAGGCCAGGGGGGTGGGGAACCCCCCAGTGCATGAATGTCATGCACAGGGCCTCTAGTATGTATATATTCTCAGTTATGACATAAAATGTATTTCTCATTATGGGTTGTTATCAAAGAATTTTAAAAGCTACTAAGACAGGAAAAGTAGTCACAAATACTAGTTGTCAACTCTGAATTTTCAGGAATGCATTGTCAAGGTAGATGGTTAGAAGGCCGATAGTTATCTTCTGTAGAATTATTTGACTGTTACCACCTGATAAAACAGAGTGGTTTTGTTTCCTGAGGACCATAGAGTTCAGTGGACTGTTCCAACTTGTTAAACAGCTGATCTTTAAGATGATTTTCAAAATTCTATTTATCCAACATTTCCATTTCCCTGAAGTGGGCTTCAAGACTAAATCTGCTTCTTTCTACCTTCCATTTCCATCCACATAGTTTTGTTCTCAGGTTGACTTTCTTTGATCTGGCCCTAGCCTATATTTCTATCTTTATCACTGATTATTCCTTAAGGTAGCCAGCTTCTAAGATAGCTCCTAAAGAATCTCACCTCCTAATATTCCTGCATACTTCTAAGCCTCTCTCCTTGAGTGAGGATTGAACCTAGTGATATTCTATTAAGTGTAGGTGATGGCTCGACACGTCCAGGACTAGATTACAAAATGGTTTGCATCTTGCTCCCTCTTCTCTCCCTCGTTTGCTTTGAGGGAAATCAGCTGCCATCTTTGAACTGTCCTATGGAGAGGGCCATGTGTCCTGGAACTGATGTGTCTAGCAGCAGCCAGGGAGAACCTGAGGGTTGCCCACAATCACATGACTAAGCTTGGAAGCTGACTTTGCTTGGTTGAACCTCAAGATGACTGCAGCCTTAGCTGACACCTTAGCAAGAGGGCCCAGCCCTCTCACAGAACAAAGTGATAATACATGTTTGTTGTTTCAAGCTGCTAGGTTTTGGCATAGTTTATTATTTAGCCATAGATAACATACATTCCTCTTTATACACTCTATGCTTTTGCCAAAATGTATTGCTCAGTGTTCTCAATATAAACCATTTCCCATTCAAACTGGTCTACTTGCTTGGAGTGTTCTTCATACCTTTCCTTCTCTGCCATTACTATAAATCTAAACTCTGTCTTGCCTTTAAAGCCCTGCTTAAATATTATATCTTTCATTAATTATTTTTATTTGATGCTCTTATTAGAAACGATCTCATTCTACTTTGAACTTAGTGCTTTATAAATATCTTTTTGTGACACTTTTAAAAAAATCCTCACCCAATGACATGTTTTCCTTCAATTTTAGATAGAGCGGAAGGGAATTGTATGTCACAGGGGGGCATCAGGATTTTAAAGATGCTTAAGTGGGGCCTGGCCAAGAAAAGGTTGGGAACCACTGGCTTAAAGCAAAGGAGAAACTGACATTGATTTGTATGCTGGTGATGAGTGTAGCTCCCAGGAAAGGAGTTTTTGGGTGGCACTCTTACTGCTTGGGATATGTAATGCCTCTCTAACAGCTCCCTGCACAACAAATGTCGAAAGCTGTTTTCACTTTTTGCTTTTTTCGTAGAAGTGAAATCCATTTTGAGTTTATTTCTGTTAGTGAAAACAAGTACTACTGTAGGTCTTTTGTAAGAGCCAAGAGGAGTAAGGTGAACTTTTGAAAAGTGGGGATAGCTGTATGT